GTGTCAAAGTTCAGAGTGTATACCTCTAATCATTTGGATAATTAAAAAAAGCAAGACTCTGGCCAGGCACGGTGGTTTATACCTATAACCCCAGCACTTTGTGAGACCAAGGCAGGAGGATTGCTTGGGGCTAGGAGTTCAAGGCCAGCCTGAGCAACATAGTGAGACCCCATCTGTATAAAAAAATAAAAATAGGCCGGACGCGGTGGCTCACGTCTGTAATCCAGCACTTTGGAGGCCAAGGCAGGCAGATTGTGAGGTCAGGAGTTCAAGACCAGCCTGGCCAAAATGATGAAACCCCATCCCTACTAAAAATACAAAAATTAGCCAGGCAGTGGCAGGTGCCTATAACCCCAGCTACTTGGGAGGCTAAGGCAGGAGAATTGCTTGAACCTGGGAGGTGGATGTTGCAGTGATCTGAGATGGCACCACCGCACTCTAGCCTGGGTGACAGATCAAGACTCCATCTCGAAAAATAAAATAAAATAATAAAAATAAAAAATTAGGTGGGTGTGGTGGCAGGCATCTGTAGCCCCAGCTACTTGGGAGGCTACAGCAGAGGATAGCTTGAGCCCAGGAATTTGTGGCTGCACCACTGCATACCACTGCACTGCAGCCTGGGCACCTGAGTGAGACCTTGTCTTTAAGAAATTAAAAAATAAAAATTAATTTTTTAAAAAGCAAGAACTTTAAGTTCACAATTGAATATAGTATCGATTAGTCATACATTTTCAGTCCTCCTCCTACATCATTTATTTATAACTTTTCACAGTGTTGGCTACTTTTTCCTCCTTGAAACTGTCCTCGGGCATTCTGAGATGTTGGTCTTAGTCTCCTTCCTAATTTCATGCCTATTCTATTTCAGTTTCTTTTTTTACTTCTTGGTATTTTAAAAGAATTAAATCTTTTATCTTCTCCCTTCTCATTCTTTGAATTCTGTTTCATTCTTATGACTTTATCACTAGTGATTCCTAAAATTGTCAGTTTAAACCCTGTTGCTTTTATTCCTTCAACAAATATTTATTGTTCTGTGACAGTAGACACTATAGATAGAATCCCTACTTTTGTAGAGCTTACAGTCTGGAGATACAGAGAAGAAAACAAGTCATCGTAGTATTTAAGTTCTATGAAAATGAGGCATATGATCCTATAAAAACACATGGGCCAGGTGTGTTGGTTAACTCCTGTAATCCCAGCACTTTGGGAGGCTGAGGTGGGCAGATCACAAGGTCAGGAGATCAGTACCATTCTGGCTAACATGGTGAAACCCCGTCTCTACTAAAAGTACAAAAAAAGTGGCCGGGCATTGTTGCATGTGCCTGTAGTCCCAGATACTTGGGAGGTTGAGGCAGGAGAATTGCTTGAACCCGGGAGGGAGAGGTTGCAGTGAGCTGAGGTCGCATCACTGCACTCCAGCCTGGGCAACAGAGCAGACTTTGTCTCAAAAACAACAGCAGCAAAACACACACACACACACACACACACACACACACACACACACTCCTTACTTTCTCTGCATGCCAGGACATGGGGGATGTGGAGAAGAGAGCCATGCAGAGATGGCAAGATGAAGTGGCCAGTGTGGTTGGAAGACTGCTTATATTGAACAAATAAATACATTGATTGAATAAATAAGTAATTACATTGAGGAGTAATAAATAATTAACATAGGCCAGGTTTCCCACTGTTGAAGAAAATATTTGCAAACCTAGAAAGGAAGAAAGCTAAAAATAATCCTGAAGTGTCAGATTGGAATTGGAGTTGTTGATTTGATGATGGAAAGCATGCATTTATGGTAGGTGTATATGCTATACACACACAAACAGATATAGAATTAGTCATAGGTGTGTATGTGTGCATATATGCGTGTACATATACACCTGCATAGATTTTCAAGCTCGGAGAGAGCCTAAAAATGATCCACCCAAGTAACAAGAACACCCTGAGAAGCAAGATTTTTATGCCTAAGTTCTGTCCTCCACTAAAAGGAATTAGGGCCTTTGGAGAAAGGGCTGATTCCAAGGCTAAGTCAGAAGAAGGTGAACCTGGAACATCTGATGCCGTAAAGTAAGAAAATGCTCAAAGATGAATGTGGGTATGTTATAACACACACACAACACATGCACAACACACACACACACATACACACACACCCCTGAAAGCCTTCTCACTAGCCAAATCTGAGATAATTTGAATATGGAAATGATGATACCAATAGATTACAACCCATTGAAAAATATAGAAATCTATGACTAAATAAGTGATTAAGGAAAGCATTTCCTTATAACACCAACTAATACATATAAAAAGAATGATGGACATGGAATATCTCTATTTGACAACTGTCATAGTGGTTAGGAGTTGTTAGTGGAGGCCACAGCTGATGGGTTGATAAAGGATTGATGAGAAATGGGATATTGGCAATCTCAGAATAGCGCTTATACTGAAAGTAAATAGTTACAAAGGGAAAAAATAATGACCTTATTGTGTTGAAACCCGCAAACAGCAACATATTCAGATGATAAAGATTACCATCACCAGTAGTAAGATAAATCGTCATTTTCCCTGTGATATGATGCACTTAGAAAGGCATAGCATCATTTCTCTGGTATTCCTGCTAAGAAAAGATGACTTGAGTCTAGGTCATAAAGAAACATCAGACACAATGCTGTAGAATTTAAGGCCTGTTCTCTTTAAAATTGTTGAGGACATGGTAAGTAGGGATAGACTGGACATAGATAGGAACAGTAGGAATTATTCCTGCTTAGAAGAACATGAAGAGACAGGATAACTAAATGTAACATGTCTTCCCTGATGTTCTGATATCAGAAAGGAAGAAGAAACATTATTGAGACAAATGCAAAATTAAATGAGGTCTTGGACTTGGATAGAAATGTTGCTGTCAATGTTGATTTCCTGACTTGAAAGGCTATATGGTGGTTATATAGGAAATATTCCTGTTGGGATACTTTGCAGTGTTTAGGAGTAATGAGGTGTCGTGTCATCAACTTGCTATTAAGTAGTTCTGAAAAAGATTTATGATAATAGGTATATATTTGTAGAGAGAGAGAGAAAGGTAGAAAGGCTGATAGGGCAGATGCAGTAAAAAATGTTAAAGTTGGCAATCTGAGTCAAGGTATATGAAAATTCTTTGTGCAATTTCTGGAAGTTTGAAATTACACATGTGAAATTATACATGTGTGTGCACACACATGAAATTATACGTGTGCACACACATGTATACACACACACATATATATATACACACAGTCTGGGATAATTCCTTTGTGTGTGTGTGTGTATGTGTGTATACATGCACAATTATTCAATCAGTTCATTTATTTGTTCAGTATAACTTGTATATGTATATATATATATATATATATATATATATATATATATATATATATACACATACAAATGGAAGGAGGACTTATCCCAAATTGAGGCTACAGGAAATAATTTTGTTAGGAAGTGATTCCTAAACTGAGATCTAAAGGATGGAAACAATAATGACTAAAGGGTCTATGAGCCCTCTAAGAGGAGAGTTTTTTTCAGTTTAGTTTTTATTTTGTTTGTTTTTAGTGGTTGGCATTTAGAGATTGTTAATGCATGAATAGGAAAAAAAAAAAAAAAAAAAAACCTGAAAGAAGTTTGGTATGGCTGGAAGTTAGAACATGAGTGTGGCAGTGGCGAGAAACTAGGCTGGAGAGGTAAGACAGGAACAGATAATGTAGTAGGATCTCAAGAAATCTGTATTTGGTATGCTCATAAGCAAAAATATTGAACAATTACAAAAATGGCTTGGGAAATGGAAGCTATCTACCACATCCCAAGTGATAACAATTAAGGAAGCAGTTCTGATCTGGCCATGTAAATTATTTAATGTTAAATTTCATTTTAAATAGTTGAATATGTTAACTAATTCGATAAGACTTTCATGCTTTAAGTTAAATTAGTAAATTTTTATGGCAATTCTCACCAGTTGTCAGGATTTTGTATAAATGTGTTTGTTTATATACTTAAAAGATCAGTAGGTTTAAATCATTTATACCTTAATCCAGCTTTTTTTTTTTTTTTGAGATGGAGTTTCACTCTTGTTACCCAGGCTGGAGTGCAATGGCGCGATCTCGGCTCACCGCAACCTCTGCCTCCTGGGTTCAGGCAATTCTCCTGCCTCAGCCTCCTGAGTAGCTGGGACTACAGGCACGTGCCACCATGCCCAGCTAATTTTTTGTAGTTTTAGTAGAGACGGGGTTTCACCATGTTGACCAGGATGGTCTTGATCTCTTGACCTCGTGATCCACCTGCCTCAGCCTCCCAAAGTGCTGGGATTACAGGCTTGAGCCACCGCGCCAGGCCCTTAATCCAGCTTTAAGTGCTGCTGAGACAACTGTTAGAAGCTTATGATTCAGTATGTATCCCAGCACAAAATAAACCCTGCTATGTTCATACCTACCTTTGTCAGTTCTACTTTCCTTTTTCCATACACCCAAATTGCTTAATTTATTTTTAAGTATTATTTTTCTAAATAATTTCTTAGGGAAAATGTGACTTCAAAGCAATTTTCATTGGTCACTTTGCATTTTCTTCCTGTTGCTATGTAATCTCAAATGAGTAAGATATTCTGTAGAAAAAGGTAATGTACATGTAAGAAGCAAAATTAGTTATTTCAGTATTCATAGTAAATTAATTTTTGGAAAAGGCAAAATACTTCTCAGGAAGAAATAGGACAGTTTTTGCATAGATTTTTGCTCCCTCAAAGTACTTATTTTATTTGCCACAAAATTGGACAAAGTGGAATCTTTTTAGAACTAAGAACTTATTTAAGGCATATAAACCTGCAAAACTTATAAATGAATGTGAAATATAAGAAATCTTGCTATATGCTCAAATGCATTCTTGTAATTATCATACAAGTATTTAAAAGGGAATTGTTAAAGTAGTTATTTGATAAATATTTACAATGTTGCTCTTTATTTTTCTTAATAAATTGCTAGGCACTTGGAGGTGTCCCAGGAAGTCAGCCATTACTCCCCAGTGGAATGGATCCAACTCGACAACAAGGTGACTACTCTAAAGTAAAAGGGAAATTGATGTGCAGAACCATAAAGGAAATCTTTAAGGAAAATTGTATGTGTATAAGTAAATCTCCTATAGTTACACCAGTTGCATTTTTCTAGGTAACATGGCCAAATGACTTATATTTCCAGCTCATTTAATTATGCATGATAGTGAGGATAGTGATAACATAAGAAAGATAATACATGAAGATCCAAAAATTCATATTTTAATTAATAATTCTAAAACCATTTACATAACATCCAACAAGCAGGAAGCTAAGTGATAATATCACTTATTATTTCCTTTGCCTTTTTCAGATAGAGGGCTTAGCCCATCTGAAAGATGAGCAGAAGGAAAGAGGGTGCTAAGCAGCAAGAGGCTAAGAATCTCAATAATCAAATCCTTCCAGAGCTACTTAGGAACTACAGATATGTAATACTCAATAGAGCATGTACTGTTCCATGGGAAGAGGAGCAAATGGTGTTATAGAATTAATTCACCACAGAATAGGAAAAAAATTTTCAGTCATGACAATAATAGAGAATGTGGGGAGGTAGTGGTAGAGGTGGAAAAGTAGCCCGGAAGCCAAGGTAAGATGGTGTCAGTACTCAGACACTTGGTAAATGAGACAATAACACCCAGGAGGGAAGAAGCTGCTAGCCTCTGGTTTAGTATTCATGCTCATTACTTTGCTAATGTCTTCATACTTTTTTTAGGACATCCAAATATGGGTGGGCCAATGCAGAGAATGACTCCTCCAAGAGGAATGGTGCCCCTAGGACCACAGGTAAATAATCAGTGCATATTTACAATAGCAAAGACATGGAACCAACCCAAATGCCCATCAATGATAGACTGGATAAAGAAAATGTGGTACATATATACCATGGAATACTATGTAGCCATAAAAAAGAATGTGATCATGTCCTTTGCAGGGACATGGATGAAGCTGGAAATCATCATCCTCAGCAAACTGACACAGAAACAGAAAACCAAACACCACATGTTCTCACAACGAGAACACATGGACACAGGGAGGGGAACAACACACACCAGAGCCAGTTGAGGGGGTGGAGGGCAAGCAAGTGCACTAGGACAAATCCGTAATACATGTGGGACTTAAAACCTAGATAACAGGTTAATAGGTGCAGCAAACCACCATGGCATATATATGCCTATGTAACAAACCTGCACATTCTGCACTTGTATCCCAGAACTTAAATAAATAAGTAAATAAATAAATAATAAAACTGAACACTGGCCGGGCGCTGTGGCTCACACCTGTAATCCCAGCTCTTAGGGAGGCAGAGGCAGGAGGTTAGCTTGAGCCCAGGAGTTTGAGACCTGCCTGGGCAATATAGCGAGACCCCGTTCCCCACAAAAAGGAAAAAAACAAAAAGAAAAAAAAACAAAACAAAACACTGAAAAAAAATCAATGCAGAAAGCTAGATGCTGAGCTTTTTGCCGCCTTCATATATATAAACAATGTTATTTACTGGCTGTGAAAATATGCATTCAGGCTTTATATAACATAGTTGTTAGAGTAATGAGGATATAACATTTGTGACATGCCAAATTAATATAACAACTAACCATACTTTAGCAGGGTGCTATCATTTAAGCCTTTAGTTTATTTGAGAAAATACACTGTATGGAATTACATTATAATAATTACTATTCAAAAGGTAACTGTTACCCTTAGTTATGCTGAAGAGATGGTTAAGTTAAATAAAACCCAGTTGGCTGGGTGTGGTGGCTCACACCTGTAATCTCAGCACTTTGGGATCACTTTGTAATCCCCGCACTTTGACAGGCAGACCACTTGAGGTCAGGAGTTCTAGACCAGTTTGGCCACATGTTGAAATGCCATCTCTACTGCAAATACAAAAAGTTAGCTAGGTGTGGTAGGTGGGTAATCCCAGCTACTTGGGAGGCTGAGGCAGGAGAATCACTTGAACCCAGGAGGCAGAGGTTGCAGTGAGCTGAGATCGGGCCATTGTAACAGCCTGAGCAACAATAACGAAAACTCCATCTCAAAAAAAATTTTTTTAATAATAAATAAAACCCAGTTGATTGAAAATATTAAATAGTAAGTATAAAATATATTTACATAAATCTTAAAGACTGTCATTGACAATTTATTATATACAATCATATTTCTTTATAGAATGGGAAAATAATAGTAAACCCTTTAGAAATACACATTAAAATGGGTCTTACTGAACAACTATAGTATCATCAGTGTACGTCAGATGTTAGCTGACTTCTCCATTAAAATTTCGCAGAAGTATACACTGAAGTTGAACCTGTCCTAGCTGTTGGTGACATTTTAAGCGTGCAGTTCCAGGATATCATGCATTTTAGCTAAAACGTTCTTTTGTCTGTGTTGGGAAAATTGCTTGGGGTAGAAATTAATTTTAAATGTCATTTTTCAAAGAAACCAATTTAAAATCCAGAATTTTAAATTTCTACCTCGTGGGTCAGACATTAACATGTCATAAAGCTGGTTAAAATAATGAATTTATTCATTTTTCCTTTCCAAGAAATAGCACTATAAGCAATACTTTTAGGAGCTTGTTTTGTATATCTACTTTTTAAAAGTTAAATTGATGTTTTGTTGTGCTCCCAACCGAGTAAAAAAATTTAAGAACTCAACACACAGATAATGTGACTTAGACCTATTTACAATAATACGTGTTGTATTGTATGTTTGTATTGTATATATGTATTGTTTCTAACCAACATATAATTATGTATATTAACTATATTGAAACATGGGGCTCATTTAGCCAGATTTTTTAGAAATGCCATATTATATGAGAACAACTACTACATATAGTTCCATGGAAAGAGGAACAAAGGGTGTCACATAAATATATGTGGCAGCCTCAAGGCCAAAACAAAAACTATTTTATTTAGGCTTCTTGTTAATATGTTTTCTTAAGAGCTAATAAAACTCTTATTTGGATATTTAAATTATTCTTATCTATTTCTATTCATATTAGAAATAACAATACATGTTAACCAATCATCATTAAGCTATTAATAATAAGAATTTATAAGTTCCATAGGCATTTTATTGGCTAAGTATACTTTTAGTCTTTAATAAACTAAGCCAACTAATCTGGCTGTGAAAGAACTTTTTAACAGCTAGATTATTATTATTATCACTCTATTATTAGTATTAGTTTTTAATACTTCAAAAATTAGAGTCTGATTTAAGAATCAGTTTTACAGTATTTACAGTATAGTAAATTATATAAGAAAATAAGAAAGCTATTTCTGGTAAGCTCTTATTGATGAGTTTTAATAACAAGTTTATCATATATGTTAATTCTTTGGATTTTTAAAACCAGAGAGAGTGGTTTATTTCATTTGGATTGTAAGTGTTCTTACTATTTCTATATAATATGATGGATATTAAGGGTTCTGGTATGAATTTACCTCAGAAATAAGGAATGTCTACAGTAACATTTTTAAATTACAGTATAAAAAGTGTAAGGATTAAAGGAAATTATGTATACATACGTATCATGTTTAAATGAAAACAGGAGTCGTATTCATATGATGGTACAATTTTAAAAAGTCAGGTAAAATAATTCAGAATCAGGGAAATCTTATGACATACTTATTTCATAAGACCTGGTATATAAAACATGTAAACATATGCATTATAAACTATGAAATTTGTAATGAAGGTTAGCTGTGTTTCTTGAAAGAGAATGGAAAAACAACGCTCATAACAAACATTTAATCATATAGATGCTGCCCAAGTGAAGAAGGTATCTGCCTTATTTTTAGTTGTAATGTAGTAAAATTCTCTGAAATATATCTCTATATTTATGCACAAACAAAATACATATTTCTTTTTTTATCATAGATAATGCTTCCATAATTTTTTGAGCTTAAGATCAATGTGGTACAGGGGACCGCAGTTACCTATTAAAACAACTGAATTCCTAAAACAAATATGTAAATCTAATTATTCTTACATTATGTTGATTTGAGCAAAGTGCACACACAGAATATAGTTAACATGTGATTAATATTTATCGCATGTATGAGGTTTGCCCCAAATCCAGACATATTTTTCCCTATCCATTAATCTATTTTAGATCTAAATACAGTGGTGGTACATTATTTTTAAAGTGAAAATATGTTAGTATCCTTTCAATAAAAAACAAAACTACCTATTTAATCAAGAAAAATATCTTCTAATATATATGAAGCCAGTTTTCTACTTGGTTTTGTAATAAGATGTACTCAGCTAACCTGTGTTCTTAAGGTCAGCAAGTGCCATGTAATTACCCAAAACTACCTAACTAGTTCTAGTTTCTCTAGAAATATGAAGGATAAATAAGTTATATACAAGTAAGAACATATGATTTCCAAATCAGATACTTGGGGTGGAAAAATGGTGAAGTGGAAATAATATATATGATAGGCTCTCATGTAAACAGAGTAAACTGATCCTATATTTTCAAATCTATGATGGAGAGTAGAGTTCAGCTCAGTACAAGGAAGAACTTTCTAGAAATTAAATTGCCCAACCATGGAAAGACTTTATAAACTTTCCTAGCAGAGTCTGAACAGCCATTTTGTCAGGAACGTTGCAGTAGGAGAGAGATTAGACCAGATGGAATTGTATAGTTGTCATCAGCTTTAAAATTCAGTGATTCTAAATTAGCTCTTCCCGTTCTGCCTTTGTTGATACCACTTGGAAAGCAAGTTGTTATTCTTTCTTTTCTTTCTTTTTGATTTAGATTATTCACTAAATGAAAATATTTTGCAAATCTATCAAGCATTTATTGAAGAAGTTCTTACTCATTTCCTGGAACAATTCAGTTGAACTAGCTCATCATTCATGGAAGGCCTACTGTGTGCCAGGCACCATACTTGAGCACTGGGTATACAAAGATGAGTAACAGATATGCTGCCTTCGAGGTATTTATTGTTTAGCAGGAAGTGTAGATACACAAAGGAAAACTATTATATAATGGGGAAAGTCTAGACAAATATATATACTTTTTGTGGAGCCATTACATGAAGAGTCAAGTAATTCTGTTGGAGTTGAGGGCTATGGAAGCTAGTGAAAAGAGGACTCATTTAAGCTGATTTATTAACAGTGGTGAAAGAAAAAAAAGAGTTAGCAGCTACAGTTTTTGAGCCCCAAATACCATGCTTTTAATTCACTAAGAACTAGGATAGGTGCTTTATGTTTCCTTTTATTCTCCAACAAACCTGTAAGGGAGATAATATTATCACTTTACAAATAAGGAAATCACTGGGAGGATCGTTTGCCCAAGATCACACACATAGATGAAGAAGAAATGGGACAGTGGCAACAGAGATTCAAACCATTGTCGACCTAGGTCCAGAGCTGTAAGGAAAATTAATGTTTTCCTTGATAAAATAAAACACAGATCTTCTAAGACCAAAAATGAGGTGAGACTTTCCTTGTGAAGCATTTCTCTTGTACTTTACCATTCAGATTTTGTTCCCAATGACTAGCCTTTATCTTAGAGACCCTTGCTAGTACTGCTGCTGCTACCACCATACCTGATCCAGTGGTTAGGCGAAATAGCTGTCCTTTTAACCAATGTCTCAAGTGTGAACAGAATCATTCTACCATCCCATAGCTCACAAATTTGGATATTTAAATGAGATTTCCTTAAAGTAAATAAACAATGGGAATAGCATGTATCAACTGTGGCTTACATTCTGGAGTCAATAGACCTGCTCTCTCTGATTTATTTCCTTGTCATCCGAGCACCTACTACTTCAAGGCCAGGGAAAATGAGTTAGCATGAGTGTAAAAATCTATTACGTGTTTCTGAACTTAAATCCAGTAGGCTGAAGGGTATGGTTGGGAGTAGGGAATAAAGGTGAAAATTACAGAAAATGAGGACAGGAAAGATGGGCTAGGGCTGAGCCTTGAATAACCCATAGAGCCATGCTGAGAAGTTTAAACTTACTTGACAGGTAGTGTGGGTCATCATAGCTTTTTATTTATTTATTTATTTATTTATTTATTAAGATGGGGTTTCACCATGATGGCCAGGCTGGTCTTGAACTCCTGACATCAGGTGATCCACCCACCTCAGCCTCCCAAAGTGCTAGGATTACAGGCGTGAGCCAGGGTCATCATAGCTTTTAAGTGACATGAATAGGATTGAGTTTTAGAAGGATAGCTCTTGAGGCAGCTTGGAGAAGAGATTGGGAGCAGGAGAGACTAAATCAGAGAGACCAATTAAGATAGTGCAGTAGTCTCAGTAAGTGATAAAGATTAGTAATAAGAGGATAGAACTATTTCAAGAGCTATTTCACAGATAGAATCAATAGACTTTGGTAACTGACTGGATATGGGAATTGAAAGAAAAGAAACATCACGGAGCTCCTGGAAATTCTTAGCTTGGTCTGTTGTATGGAAGGTGATACCACAGAACTGACTGAGGAAGGCAGTACAAAGAACTCAGTCCTGAGAAGATAATATTGAGTTTACTTTTAGGTATGTTGTGAGTAAGATGTATCCAGATGGAAACAGATCCTGTAAAGTTCAGTGTCTGAGTTATCTTTATATCAAGATCAGATATAAACATTTGGGATTCCTAACATATTAGTTGTTGAACAAATGGAGGCAGATAAAATTACTCATAGTGTTTTATTGAAAAGAATGCTATAGCTAGAACTTGGAGAAAAGCAACATTTTAAAGGGTTAGCAAAATAAAAAGAGCTAGCAAAGGAAATTGGAAAAGAGTACCCAAAAGAGTTTGAGGAATATTGGTATCAGAAAGCCAAGTGTGAAAGTTATTGGCAATGTCAAAATATAGTAAGATAATAGTGATAAAATTAGCCTTTTTGTCCTTACAGCAACTAATCTAATATGATGTACACGTTAAACATTAAAATGTTTTTACTTTTTGAATGCACATAATACATATTAATAGAAGCTGATTGAGTCATACGTATTTTGAGTATACATTAGTTTTTATACATTTTTTGTATATGTATATTAGTGCATTTCTGTGTTAGACATGTTGTTTTGTGAATAGAAGTTTGCATTTAACTTTCTTGTGTTGGGTTCACCTGTTTTGTTTTGTTTTCAGACTTTATGTTATTGTTCTGGGTCTGACAATTTCAAACATTGAATAAATCTTTTCTTTCAAAATAGAATTTTGGATTTATGATATGTTTTATTTGAAAATATTTAGTGTTGTACATATCTTAGGAAATTAATAAACTATATTGAAATATAATTGCAACCATACCTTAATCATTTAACATGCTCCAGTGATCATACATATTCACATAGTTTAAAAAAGACATAGAAGAAAATAATAGCTAAAATAGAAGCAAAAATACAAGAGTGGACCCCTCAGAGAATGAATTACACAGGCCTTATCCAATTGGAGTTATGTAGGGAAATCATTAACGTGCTCTCCTTTCTTTCCCCCCTCCTCTTTGGTTTTGTTTTTTTGTTTTGTGGTAGTCTGACCCTTGGTTATCATTACAGAACTATGGAGGTGCAATGAGACCCCCACTGAATGCTTTAGGTGGCCCTGGAATGCCTGGAATGAACATGTAAGCTATATTATTATCTATTACATTATTATGCAGATGATATTTCATATATATAAATAATACCATATTCTATTTAGTAAGTATTCTGTTTTCTAGCTTCTCAGATTATATTAATTTGTAAATCAGTTTGAGCACTTCTGTCTCTGTGTGGTATAAAAATGAACTAAACATGAGCTGTAGTGTTTGCTTCATTTTCACAACATAATCTCTTAGATTTTCTTTGTTCCCTTACAACCTTAATTTATTTTTTTCATTTTCAAGTGCTATAAATAATAGCTTTTAGTCTATTTCATTTTGTTAAGTACAGAGTCTCCATATATTATATAAAGTATGAAGAGATGCTAATACCAGTATTTTGACTTAACATTATAGAAACAGATAATTGAATACTGTTAACCTCATTTTAACAGATAGATAGTAATTCTGTGAGTAGAGTTTTTAACTCATAAATACATATATATATATCTTTACTTTTGCTTTGTTGGGACTACTGTCAACACAGGAAGAATTCTCTCTGGTAGTGTACTATAATCTCTATTAAAGAACTTTCCATAGTATAGGATGAATTTTGTTTTGAAAAATTCCAGACATACTTAGATAAGGAGTAAACTAAATTTTTTATGAGAATGGCCCTTCCAACCCAAAGAGAGTAGTTTGTTTCTATCAGCCAATATAATGTAGTTGGTTAGGAAATTTTTCTTTTTCATTATCCCGATTGCCCTCCAAGTCATATACACCAGGTGCTTGTTAGTGACTTTCATTAATTTACCGGAGGATCAATTTCATGATGTGGCCTAAAGAAAACTTACCAAAAATAATGAAAGTTTTCCATATAGATTTGTCTCCTCAAATATGTTTCCATCAACCGTGTTTTAATTACTTATATATCAAATTAAACAATTCTGCCATCATTTAATGGCATTGAAGATACACTGTGAAATAAGCTCTTTTGATGTATGTAGGAATTTTTTTTAAGTTTCTGAAGCCATTTTCATGGAAAGCAAATTTGCCTGAAATAGAAAATAGGTTAATAAGTGGATACCACCTAGACTTAAAACTGAAAGAACAGGGGGAAAAGTAGGTCAAAATTTTCCTATCACATCTTTTTACTTTTTAAGTAAAAATGGATACACAGGAAATCCGACTCTTCTTAAATTCCTCAAAGGCTTAGCCTTGTGTTAATGGTTGTTTCAAAAAAGAGTGAGTGGTATCTTGTGCTTATTATGTCAAAAGCTGAAGCTCTTACCAGTAGGATGGAGATATATGTAAGATTTACCCACCTGAGATTCTTACTTTACAATGCAGATTTTAAGGGGTGTAATTTTGAATACTGTGTATCAATGTGAAGAGTATATATTTTGAATACTATGATCACCCCAGAATGATCGTTCAATAATAAGAATGTATCTAATATCGTTTGTACATTACTCTGCATTATAATTGGACATGGAGCCAACTTGAAATCCACTTAGTTTTGCCTGTCCAGAGAAAAAAAAATTGTTATTATTTGACCATTGAGAGATTCAAATAACTGTTTCCAATTGTCTAGTTTCTTTCTCAGATATACTTAAGCATATACATGTATATACATTTAATTTCCTAGACTATGGAAACTAAAAATATGGCTGAAAATTTTAATATTATTATTCATTGATACCTGGGTTTGGGTGTCTTATTTATGTATGCCCAGATACTTTAAAGTATTTACTATTACATAATATTTTACTATTAATATAATATCTACTTTGTAAAGAACCTTTAAGCCTTACAGACTCTCATCTCCATTTTTTGTTATTGTTTTCTTTTATGTAAGGTCTTATACCATTTTTAGTTTTCTTTAAATCAGGATTCCTTCAAAGACAATGAAATGTTAATATTTACAGTTTATATTTGTAAATATTTTCCTCTAATAGGGAAGCTTCTCAAGTGTGAATGATCTATAAGAGTATAACTCTTATATTGATACTGGCCTCCAAAAAGCAAAAGTTTGTTTAGAGACATAAAAAGTGAAACATATTATCTCCATTGCATTCAATAAAGTAAGCTTTATTGAAATTCACTTTATAATTTCTTTAAAACAAAAGTCTAACTTTGTAATGCAAGCACATAATATTTCTAACTGGAATTTGTAGCTTCATGTCATTAAGGAATTTTGCATATTCCTTAAAAATGGAAGAAAAAGGCATCAGAAGGGCGTTACCTTAAGCTCTGCCTTGAACTAACTAAACTATTTAAGTAACAAAAATATTTATGTGTTAGGTGTTAGGAGGAACATGTCAGAGACTCATATGTGGATAATTTTTCTTTAACTTGTCATTTTTTCTCATTTGCCATGAGAGTATGATGACAATAAAAAATTCCCAACCCTGGTCACTAAAGTAATTGAATACGGTATTCTAACTGGCAACTGTATTTCTTTATTGCAAAATAAATCATTTGGAGTAAAATTTGGTAACTCTGTTGTTTAAAAAATCTTTACATTTTCATGCTCTAAACTTAGGATAAATTATATTGTGTCACTTAAAAACTTACTCTCTATGTTTCTGTGGCTAGTATTATATCTTAGAAGCAAAAGCTTAATTTAAGTAATCTAAAGTAGTATTTGTAAGTTATGGCCAAAATTTAAGTGTCTTTAAATTCATTGTAGATTATTTTTTAAAGAAAATTTGGATAATCATGTATTTCTAAATTAGATACATTTTTACAAGTTTCCAAATAATTTAGGATTTAGTATTAAAGCATCCCTAACTCAACTTTATGTTACTATTAAGCAATACAGAGACCAAAAGGATTTCAGAGGATCTTCTTGTTCTATATTATATCCTGCAGAATTATGAAGTTTGTGGAGTATTATTTTGAAATAAAATGATAGTGAATTACAGAAGAATGAGGATTTTTCAGGCCAGGCATGGTAGCTCATGCCTGTAATCCCAGCTCTTTGGGAGGCCGAGGTGGGCGTATCACTTAAGGTCAGGAGTTTGAGACCATCCTAGGCAACATAGAGAGACGCTGTCTCTACTAAAAATAAAAAAACAAGCCGGGCATTGTGGCGGGCATCTGTAATCTCAACTTCTTGAGAGGCTGAGGCATGAGAATCCACTTGAGCCTGGGAGGTGGAGGTTGCAGTGAGCCAAGATCTTGTCACTGCACTCCGGCCTAGGTGACAGAGCAAGACTCTGTGCCAAACCAAAAAAAGAAAAAAGAGGATTTTTCTCTTTGGTAATAGTGGTTAATTTGATTTTGTCAAAATTAACCTCCTTACCAAAAAATGCTGACTTATCCACCCAGGCTCTAGCACGGTGGTGCGATCTCAGTTCACTGCAACCTCTGCCTTCCCGGTTCAAATGATTCTCCTGCCTCAGCCTCCTGAGTAGCTGGGAGCACAGGCATGTACCACCACCCCCAGCTAGTGTTTGCATTTTTTGTATCGATGGGGTTTTGCCATGTTGCTCAGAATGGTATTGAACTCCTGAGCTCAAGTGGAACCCACCTCAGCCTCCCAAAGCTTTGAGATTACAGGCATAAACTACCACATCCAGCCTCTCTTCATTTTTAAATGAGGCTAACGTGATTCTACTTCAAACCATACTTATATAGAAATTTTGCATCAAAATAATTCCTATGTTATAGTTTGTAAATTACTTTCTTAATAATACTGAGGGCCCTCAAAAGGAGTGGGAATTACTGAGCTTAACTAGTTGCTCTAATGGAACTACCCCTACTATAACCTTCACTTTACATAAAACATTTGTGAAACTTAAAGTATTTGCAAACACAATGATAATATTCGCAGAAATTTACTTTAGCGTGCTTAACATTAGACAAATTTGAAAATAAAATATTTGTACATCTTATTCATACTTGTTTTGTCATGATATTTCAAAATTTTAAGATTATCTACATAACATTATTATATATAAATTTTGCCAGGATCTGCGTATGGTGTATTTTTATGTTGTTTTAAGATAAATGTTCCCAAGTTTTTTTAATGTTTTATTTAACATCAAACAAATCATGTGGTTGTATCATACTTCCCGAATGTTTTACCTTAGTTTCTGTCCATTAGGATACTGAATCCTGTAGGTAAAATCATTTTTCTTTCCTTTTTTTTTTTTTTTGTAGAAAGTGATTTATTTAAAGAGAGAGAAACAGGAGAAGAAGAGAGAAAGAAACAGCTAACTCTCACACTGAGTGAGAGAATCCAGAAAGATGGAATCCAGGAGAGGAAAGCAGCTTCCACACTAAGTGGAAGGGAATAGAGAGAGATGGAGTTTAGGAGGGGAAGACAGGCTTCCACGAGAGGGTGTAGAAGGGGACTCCAAAGTGGAAATCCAGGAGAGAGAAAGATGGCTTCCACAAAGGGAGTGTTTGTGGAAGGGGACCCAAACATGGAGTCTGTAAAATCATTTTTCTAAAGTGTTCCAGTAATTAATTGTAAAACCATCATCATCATCATCATCATCATCATCATCATCATCATCTTGGAGAAGCAACAATTTCCAAAGACATTCAATACAAATGCCCTTGCCTTCTTTTTCCCTATGCACAAAATTTTATCAAGTCCTCACTGGTATCTTCTATACATCAAGCTGAACTGGGAAAAAATTTCACTTGAGCCCAAGGACAGGACCCATGCTCTTCCCTGCTGCTCACACAGCTTAGAGAATCCCCAAACAAAACTAAAACAGTTCTAAATATTCCATGCAAACATGGGTAATATAATAACTAATTTGCACAGCCTCTTTATCTAACATTTAGAACTAGCTTGTCCAACCCATGGCCCAGGATGGCTTTGAATGTGATCCAACACAAATTTGTAAACTTAAAACATTATGAGATTTTATTTGTTTTTTTTTTTTTAATTAGCTCATCAGCTATCATTGGTGTTAGTGTATTTTATGTGTAACCTAAGACAATTCTTCTTCTTCCATTGTGGCCCAAGGAAGCCAAAAGATTGGATACTCCTGATTTAGAATTTTAGGTTTAAGGTCTCTAGATTCAAGGAATTTTTTTAATTAAACTTTTTCATTGTCTTAGTAATTCAAAGGGAAGGGGAATTTTGAATGACCCTAATTAGAGGAGACTGACTGACAGTAGCCTACTTTTCATAAGACAGTATTTATTCAGGTATACAACTTAGTACTTAGTACTAAATGAGGACAAGAGACCTTTTTGATTTAACTAATTGGGCACTAATTTTGCTTTAAAAGCTCTGTGTCCTTATAAGCTGTGGAATACAGAACATTCTCCTCTACTCTACAGTGAAGTAATATATTGGCATAGATTATCTCCCATTTTTTCTAAAGTTTACTCTGGCCACTACCTGGAACTGAAATTATGAGAACAAGAAATGGAATTTTCTCATTTAATAGTAACTAAATCATCAGTAGCATTGAAAGATAGATATATAAAGTAATGTGTGATACTCTGTGGTTTTTTTTCAAAGGAAGCAACTTTAGATACTTTTTATATGTTTTTATTTGTTTATAGCTTATATATTTTTATTTGTTTATAGCTTCATAGGAGCAATCATTTTTTATGTATTGATGTTTTACAAATTTTATTTTAAATGAGATACAGGAAGCTCTTATGATGTCACAAGATTATATTTAGTTCATAATTAATACTTTTCACTATAGAATTATGTTTTATAATGATTTCAATGTATGTATATATTTACTCCTATGAATGATTACCATCTATATAACATAACAATTTAATTTTAAAATAAAACTGGGTTTTCTAAAAGCAGTTCGATCTGAGAAGAAAACTGTTCCACGGAAGAATAAAATTGGGGGACTTAAGATATAAAAAGCTATTAAAGTAAATGTAAAGAGAATAATTTCAATGCTGAACTAGAACTATATGGTAACTGAATTGTAAATGTTAATATTTTATGTTTTGTCTTTGATTATTGTGAAACATTTAAAGCATAGGTTAAAATTTCATTTATCATATTGTTTTGTAGGGGTCCAGGTGGTGGTAGACCTTGGCCAAACCCAACAAATGCCAATTCAGTGAGTACATACATATATATACTTTTAAATATTTTGCATTTTGTAACATTTAACAAAAATCACAAAAACGTTTTGCTTTTAAAAGCCTGTAATTGGCTGTATTAACCCTTTTTTAAGTAATCATTGAAAAAGAAGTTTAATATATATCTTAGAAAAAGATGCATAATTTTTTGAAATTATATAATTTTCTTTCACTTCAAGATCTAATATAAATACACATTCTATATCAAGACTTTCAAAAATAAAAATTGAAATAGTGTGACTTAAGTATATACTACAATTGCCTATAAATGGTGATCTGTATCATAAAATGGTGTGATCTGTATCATAAAATGGTTTGATCTTCTAAAATAACTATTAACCATCACTAAGTTGCCAAATACAATCAGCCTCTGTTAGAAGAAACCAATTATGATTTTATTTGCTATATCAATTACACCCAGGTTTGCTTTCTTGCTGCCCCAGAAAGCAAATGCATATTTACCCTGTACCTGTTAGCTAGATTGCCATCCTTGTACATCTCTATATATACCCTACATCTTGGGAATTTTCTTTATATATTTGTGGCAGTGGTTTGACTGCACAAATATTTATCTCTCTTAATATTGTCACAGAAATATATGCACAGGTTGAAAATTAAGTTATCAATCTTAATATGATTTTAATGTTGTGATCCTGGAGATGTTTTTCCTTCTTGTCTTTGAAACCTTGAGTTCTTCAATATGTGAATGAAGTCTGCCGTGTACACCTGTGCACTGCAGAAAGGTTGCTGGGTCAAGGGAGTCACTAGGAGAATGAAATACAACCTGTGATCCCCTTGTGAAATCAATGGGCATCTACCCATAGAGGATGCCTTTTGCTAATATGTACAAAGGTATCTTCATTGGCCAACAGTGGCCTGAATGTTAAATGAATACAAAACTGATCCAATGTTTAAGATTAGACTGTAGAAAATCATCCTAAATCCATTGCTGTTTTAAAGCAGGAATCACTTTCAGCTCAAGCAAATAACTGTCATATATTTTTTAAATGTTAACTTATGGTATCTGCTTTTGTCTTAATTTTAATAGCTATGATGTTTGCTAAGTAAATGAAATTATTTGAAGTGAAAAGAATGGTGTTGCTTCCATTTGAGTCTTCCATGTACTATTTAATTTCAATAAATCTTTCTTCTAAAATAGTGTTTTTCCAGATTCTGTTGTAATAGAATATCTTTACACCTTCAAAATTCTTTTAGTTTGCTTATATGCTTTAAAATTGTTTGCTTCTTACTATCTGTAAGCTTCTTACTATTTGACTTAACCAATTCATTCAAGATTTCACTTTAAAATGACATCTGTCTAGCAGGTCAAGATATATTTATTTTAACTTCCTATTTAAATGCCCATAATAAGAATGCAAGAAAATGTTTTTGTAACACTGAAAACTCTGACAGTCTTCCCAGTGCCAGAATCTGGAAAGAATTTCCATTATCTTCATGACTCATGAAGCTAGATGGAAAAGCACAACCAATGGCTCACCTTAACTATGTAAGCCTTCCCACCTAGAAACAAAAGAACCCTTCTCTTATTCCTCATTATTAGCTCAATCAATCATCCCTTTACTGCCCATTGCAGGCAGCCAGAGTACAATTCACACCCACCACCACCCACCCCTGTAAGTACCTTTTTTACACACTCATCCAAAGATTATATCTCCCACAGGGCCCCCAGGAAGGTGGGCAGGGTTTGAGCAGTTGATATTGACAAGGATGTTTCATTGGACCAGGGGGGTATATTATCCAAGTAAACAGTATAGATGAGAAGAGAGCTCTGTGTTCTGATGACTTTTAGTTTTTTAGGTACTCCATCTCTTTAGGATTTCGTAGCACTGAGCACTGTGGGTAGGAGAATGCGTTATAACATACTAGCAGTTCTGCATTATTTTAGACCCTGAGAAACATTTGGAATTAGGGTAAGAGCCATACCTATAAAATTGCTGTCCACCAGTCTGAAATGGACGTTTGACCAGCACACATGTAGACAAGTAATGGAGTTGAAAGCAGTCTCCTCGATGAATATATGCCAGATGTGCAAAATCTACCCTTACTCAAAGTATGTGAATAGGGAAAAGAAGTGGAGGAGACCTATAGTTGTCTTTTTAGAGAGAAAAAGTAGTCATGCGGAGAGAAAGTATGCCTCTGAAAATGACTGTTATAAGAATAAAGAAAAAAATCATAGATAAATGATGACTTTCTAGCAAAGACATAGGGCTTCTGCGAAACAGAAGCAAAAAATATTAAGGAGGTGTTTTTCCCCAAAAACCATTGATCATTTTGTGGTGACAACTGATTCATATTATGTTGAATTCCAAGTTTCTTAGACTTCCTGCCCGTATTTAATATTAAAACACTTTTCAGTTTTTATCAATGAAGTTAGTCTCTAAGTCCTCAAGGCAGCATATCAAAGTAGTTGTTTGTTTTGCTTTTGCTGTTTTCAAATATGTTTTGTTTATTATTTTAAATGTTTATTTTGAAATAACTTTAGATTTACAAAAACATTGTAAGAATACTACAAGGAATTTCCATATACCCTTCACCCAGATTCCCAATTGTTAATGTCTTACCACATTTGCTTTATGATTTTCTATGTAAACATATTTTTAAACTGTTTAAATTTCCTGAAACTTTATCCCTAAATACTTCCATGTATATTTCCTAAAAACTAACACATTATTTTTTATAACCCCAGTAAAATGATCAAAATAAGAAAATCCGCTTTGATGTAATGCTATTTTCTAATCTACAGATTTTATTCAGATTTCACCAAATGGCCCAATAATCTTTTCCAACAAAAGAAAATCCCAGTTTACTTGTTGCATTCATCCATCATGTATCTTTGTCTCCTTTAACTTGGAACAGTTCCTCAGCTTGTTTTTGTTTGCTAGGGGGTGAAGGGGGTGGGTTGTTTGCTTGTTTGTTTTGGTCTTTCTTAACGTTGGAGTTAAAAAACTCAAAGCAAGCCAGTGATTATTTAGAATGTCTGTAATTTGGTTTTTATCTATTTCTTCATGATTAGATTTAGGTTATAGGTATTTGTCAGGAATATTGCAGAAGTAATTTTGTGTTTTTTGGCCAGGTGCAGTGGCTCACACCTGTAATCCCAACATTTTGGGAGATCGAGGCAGGTGGATCACCTGAGGTCAGGAGTTCAAGACCAGCCTGGCCAACATGGTTAACCCCTGTCTCTACTAAAAACACAAAAAATTAGCCAGGTGTGGTAGCAGGTACCTGTAATCTCAGCTACTGGGGCGGCTGAGGCAGGAGAATCTCTTGAACCCTGGAGGTGGAGGATCAGTGAGCCAAGATCACGCTATTGCATTCCAGCCTGGGCAACAGGAGCATAACTCCATCCCCCCCCCCAAAAAAAAACTGTGTTTCTCTCAGTGCAACATTTCAGGAGGCACATGATGATTTGTCCTATTATTGTTAATGTTAATTTTGATCATTTAGTTACAGTGATGCTTGTCAGGTTTCTCCATTGTAAAATCACCATTTTTCCCCTTGTGCTTATTAACTTGGAGACATACTTTGAATGTACAGTAAGTTTCTTCTTCCTCCTTATATTAATACTTTTCATCTGCTATTTTGGAGATCTATTGACGATTTTTGCCTGAATCACTTTTTTACTTTGTTGGTTGACAAACGGATATTTTTGAATTCTGTCTTTTCTTCTCCATTTATTAGCTAACTATAACAGAATTGTTTTTTCTTTTCCATTCATATTCATTTATATATATAAGATGTATTCATGCATTATTTTATTCAGTGCGTTTAGAATGCTAAAATTGTTCTAAATTTTCCTTTCAAGCTGTATCACTTAACTTTTAACATATCCCCATTATTCTCTGAGCATTGTGAAACTCATCTTATATTTTCCCAGTTTTAGCCCTGGAAGCAATCATTTCTTTAAGGAACTTGGGGGTTTTTTAGTGGATATTGGTATGTAGAACCCACTGGAGTAATACAATTTTTAGGCCCTCTCAACTAACAGAACTAGGAAATATATGTATGTGTATGTATACACTCACCCACATCTATACATTTATCTATTTGTATTAAAAGCATAAGTGTACGCTGAGGCTTCCATTTCAGTCCATCCCCACAAGGGTTTATTCTAGCCTTTCTACTTTCCATGTTTATAACTCACTTTTCTGAAAGTATGAAATCTATCTGTCATTATCCGTAATATATGTATTTATTGCCGAATCTTTGACAGTCCACCATTTTGTCATAAAAGTGTTTTGGTTAAATATATTTTTGGAACTCTTACATGATAACAGGAAAAACATTTTAAGGGCAAATTCATATTTTTAATTCCAAATAAAAGTTATGATTTTTATTTTTAATTTTCTTACCTGGAAGCATTACAGTATTGGTCTCAGAGTCTTATTTGGAATAGAATATATTCTAAGACATATTCTAAAATATATTCAGTATGAAGTATTATTTCTCTTATTCTGAAAAAGACTGTTACTGCATCATATATCTGAAAAGTCCAGATATATTTGTGGTTTTGAGCACATTTGGTTCCAAAAGTTTAAATAATGTCATCCTGAGCCCCACCCAAGCCACATGGAGAAAAAATAAGGCAGAAGTAGTTCACCAAATAAATTTAAATGAATGGGTAGCAAAAGAGGGGATAGGCAAAAACAACAAAATGTTCAGTAGAGCATTGTATTTATTAACTCACTCACTTGTCAGGGAAAAAGAGGAAACTCCTTTAAGGAGAATATAAGAATCTATTAATAGTGATTGAGCCTAAAGGAAATATGAACACATTACTCCAAATAGTCTCTGCACAAATAGGTGCAGAATCTCTAAACAAATAGGTGCTCATTTAAAAAAAAAAAAAACACTAAAATAGAATATTTTTAATTTCATGTGGCATAGATAATGTCTTGATATTATCTTCCCTTATTTCTAGTAAACCAGTGCTTTTAACATAGTTTTAAACTACACA